GAAAGAAGGGTGAGAACGAAAATGAGAGATGATTGTGAGATAGTGATGAAGATGATGATGATGAGGAGGAGGAGGAGGAAAAGAAGAAGGAAAAGGAAGTGTGGGGGGAGGGGAGGAGGAGTAGGAAGAGGAAGAGGAGAAGGAGGAAAAGGAGGAGGAGGAGGAGGAGGAGGAAGAGGAGGAGGAGGAGGAAGAGGAGGAGAGGAGAAGGAGGAGGAGAGGAGGAGGAAGAGGAGGAAGAGGAGGAGGAGGAGGAGGAAGAGGAGGAGGAAGAGGAGGAGGAGGAAGAGAAGGAGGAAGAGGAGGAAGAGGAGGAGGAGGAGGAGAAGGAGGAAGAGGAGAAGGAGGAAGAGAAGGAGGAAGAGAAGGAGGAGGAGGAGGAGGAGGAAGAGGAGGAGGAGGAGGCACTGGTGGCGAGAGTTTAAGAATACAAATAAAAAACAAATAAAAATATAAAGATTCCTCCATTCTCAATCCCTTACATCTAGATTTATAAACACAATTCCCTACACAGGTAGACAGATACCGAGTATACATGTACTTAAGCATGCATGTCAAAGCGTATGTATGTATATGCAAGCACTCAATATATCCTGATCCATCCGCGTGGAATAAAGGAATATTAATAATAAATGGAATAAAAAACACGACTCGACTATCCACACAGTGTGCATAATGTACACATGTTCTGTACGTTTTTTTTTTATACACCCCTCCTTCCCTCCCCCTACCTCCTTACCACGACGTCATCCGCTCTCCCTTCCCCCCCAAGTCTTCCCTTCACCCCACCCTCCCCTCCCCCCTTAAACACACCTGGGGGAAAAAAATGCAGTATCTGTTTTTTTTTTTTTTTTTTTTTTTTTTTTTTTTTTTTACTACGACCTTTATTCTTTCTTTTTTTGTCTTTCTTCCTGTTTTTTATTTTTTTTCCTCGTCTCCGCCTTCGTCTGGTAGAGGGAGAGACAGGGATTAAGATCACGTGATGCTGGGGGGGGAGGGGAGGGAAGGAGGAGAAGAGGAGGGTAGAGAGAGGAAGAGGGGGGGGGGATAAAAGGGGGGGGAGAAACAGGAAGAAGAATAGGGGCATGGGGGGGGGGAGAAGAGAGTAGTAAGAGAAAGAGGGGGAAGGAAGAGAGGGAGAGGAGGGGAGGAGGTGGGAAAGGGGGGTAGGGGAGGGGTCACTGATCTCCTGGCACTCTCGAGACATGTGCCATAACCCCCCTTCCTCTCCCCCCCCCCTTCCCCCCTTCAATAATCCCTCAGCCACATGTGCCGCCTCCCCCCTCCCCCCTCCCCCTCCCCCCCTCCCCTTCTCGGTAGTGGACAATCGGAAATGCTATAGTTTTTTTGTGGAATGTCCTGGCTGGGAACCTGAAGTACATGCCGCAGGATTTGTTGTTGTTGTTGTTGTTTTTTGTTGTTGTTGAATGAGAAAGAGAAAGAGAGAGAGAGAGAGAGAGAGAGAGAGAGAGAGAGAGAGAGAAAGATAGAGAGAGAGAGAGAGAGAGAGAGAGAGAGAGAGAGAGAGAGAGAGAGAGAGAGAGAGAGAGAGAGAGAGAGAGAGAGAGAGAGAGAGGGAGAGAGAGATAAAGAGAGGAGATGAAAGATGAGAGATGAGAGAGGGAGCGAGAGATAGATAGATAGATAGAGAGAACAGACCGAGAAAGTAAGGAGAGGAGTAAGAGACAGAGAGAAAAAGAGGGAAAAATAATAAAAAAAATATATATATATAAAAGAGAAAATGAGGAAGAGAAAGAAAAAACAAACCACACCAACAGATAAAGAAACACAAATAACTTAGACAGTACAAACAAAAGTCCCCAAAAACATCTTCTATGCAACAATTCCCAAAAGAATATGCAACAACTACCCTCCACTGATTTCAACGACGAACAACAAAATGCTAATGACCTTCTAAATCTGCCGTCAGTACCAAGTAATTTCTAGCGGAGTGCGTCTCATGCGCGAGGAAAGTATAGTATGTGTGGATAAGGCCATTGATGTTTTACCGGAACATATGACGTAGTTCTGGCAGCCTCACGCGCGCGCGCACTCGTATATAAACAAGGGGGTATTTAAAACACACGTACATGCTCATATAAAGGAGCTCAAGCAAACACACACACAAACACAAACACACACAAAAACACACATACACAAACACACATACACACACACACACACACACACACACACACACACACACACACACACACAGAAATGAACTGGTCTGTTACAATTATTTCCTCTTAAACTTTCGTTGTGCCTTCCATTCTGTCCCCTATTCTAACTTATCCATTTATCTAACATTTCTTTTCTTCTCCCTTCCCTTATTTCCTTCAACTTCCTTCCTTCTCTCATTCAAGATTCACTTCCCTTTCCCATTCTGTATTATCATCTCCCTCTATTTTCCCTTTCAAATCTCTCTATCACCATTTCCCTTACTTCCACTGCTCCTTTTCTCTTCTCCCTTCTCTCTTCCAATTCACTTTATTCTTCCCAACCCCTATATTCTCTTCCTTCTTTCCTCTTACCTTACTATACAAAATCCCCTCTCCCTTCTTTACTCCCTTTCTCATCTCCCAGTTTATCACCACCCATCCCCAATTCCCGTTCCTCCTTCCCTTACCCGTCCCGTCTTCATGCCACCAAATTGCAAGCCAGAAGCGCCTTGCATGTTGCACTCAACCGCACCCTTTTTGCATCAACCGCCCTGACCTTGCACTGGGCTCATCTTCAATCTCCTGTTCTTGAGATTTCAGCTTCGTTCGTGCGTCTGTTCCCGTTATATCTACGTCAGAAAAAGCGTCATTTGTATGTTCAGTATAGTGCCTGATGTATCTTTGTTCTTCTGTTCTGTTTGTTTATCTTCGTCCATTCCTTCTTCCTTTCTTTCTCGTCTTTGATCTCGTGTCCGTCTTCTATCTACCTGTTTAACATATATTCCCAATCACTTCCCCCCCCCCCACTTCCTCTTCCTCATTCTCACATTTTCCCTTATCCCTTCCTCTTCCCCCCCCCCACCCCCTATTTCCTCTCTTCCTCCTCTCCCTCCCTTTTACAACCCACCTGCGCCTCCCCTTTTCCTCTCCACCACCCTCTCTTGCCTCCCGCCTTCCCCTTCCTCTCCCTTACATAACACAAGAGTGCCAAACACGTGCCAAACTCCTTTCGTATACACACACACACACACGACCGCCACTCCAGCCAGCCCTCCCTACCCCCCCCCCCCATTTTACATAACACCGCAGATAACCATCGCCACGACTTGTCCTCCAGCAAAAGCCTCGTAAAAGCTCAAAAATATGTAACACGCAAATCACGAAGGACACAGACTTCATACTCACTTAATCTGTCTGTTCGTCTGGAGTGTAGGATTTGTCTTGGTCTCTTTGGTTCTGTCTGTCTGTTTGTCTGTTTGTGTCTGTCCCTTCCATTTTTCCCCTTCCTCTCTTTCTTTTACTTTCTTTCTGTCTTTCTTTTTTATCTTTCTTTCTTTCTCTCTTTTCTCTGATAGCTTGTCATTTCTTCTATCTGCCTGTCTGTTTGTTTCTCTCTCCCTTTTCCTCCCTCCTTTCCTCTCTGCTTGTCTATCCGTCTATCTTTGCCTGTCTGTCTGTTTCTCTCCCCCTCTTCTTCCCTTCCCCCTCTCTAATAAAGCCCCCCACCCCCCCACCCGCCTGAGCACCAGGCCGAACACGTGAGCACGCGAGCCCGAGTACCGCCAGCGCCGTGTCCATCCGTCCGTCCGTTCGTCCGTCCCTGTCCTTCCATCCATGTGCCCGTCCGTCCGTCGCCATGTCCGTCCCCCGTCCCGCCCGTCCATCCCCATGCCCGCCCGCCCGTCCGCCCGTGCCCGTGCCCTGGGTGATGGGTGTCGCGCCATCGCCCTCGTTACCCGCGTAAGTGGCTAACCCGCGCCTGTTGCATGACCTTGCGTTGCGGACCTTGGCCTGCGCCTGCTCGCTTGCCTGCTTACCCGCACGCCTGCTTTCCTCCGCTTTCTGCTCGGATGAGGTCTTATCTTTACATCCGACTGCCAGCCTGCTTACCTGCCAGCACGCCCGCTTTATGCATGAATGAAGTTATTTCTCTATACATGTCTGTTAGCTTGTCTGTCTGCTTTGATCTGCTTTTTATTTGATGATGATTTTTTCTCTACTTCCATTTGGCTACCTCTGTGGACGTTTTTGCTTGTCTGCTTGTTCGTTTACCTTCCACACCTCTCCCCGCCTCTTTCTGTCTCTCTCTCTCTCTCTCTCTCTCTCTCTCTCTCTCTCTCTCTCTCTCTCTCTCTCTCTCTCTCTCTCTCTCTCTCTCTCTCTCTCTCCCCTCTCTTTCTCTTTCTCCCCCCCTCCCCCCTCTCTCTTTCTCTTCCCCCCCTCTCTCTTTCTCTACCCCCCTCCCCCCTCTCTCTCTCTCCCTCTCTTTCTCTCCATCTCCCTCTCTCTCTCTCTTTTTCTCCATCTCCCTCTCTCCCTTTCTTTCTCTCCATCTCCCTCTTTCTCTCTCTTTCTCTCCATCTCCCTCTCTCTCTCTTTCTCTCCACCTCCCTCTCTCCCTCTCTTTCTCTCCCTCTCCCTCTCTCTCTCTCTTTCTCTCCATCTCCCTCTCTCCCTCTCTTTCTCTCCATCTCCCTCTCTCTCTCTCTTTCTCTCCATCTCCCTCTCCCTCTCACACATCACCTACACAGCATGTATGAACGTGACTGAAATGCCGAATTAAAATGCCATTACCAGCCGAAAAGTGTAAGCCAATAAATTCCCCCATGAAAAAATGGACCGGGTATGTCTGCCAAAACCCAGAGTGTAAGTAAACAAAGAGGGTCACATAAATCAAAGCCAGTGGATCCGCTTAACCTAAGACAAGGGGAAGGGAATCTCCACAAGGGCAGGGAAGCGCAGGCGCGCCCGCAAGCCTCCGCCGCCACGGACTAGCAACTAGCGAGAACAGGGAAGCCGCACACACAGGCGTCTACACGTTACGGCATGTGTACTGACCCAGGTGGCGTGGCTCTTATATACCTTGGGCAGCGTGGCGGAGCACCCCATCGGAGGCGGCGTTGCTGGGGTCTTGTGGGGCGAGGACGGCTGCGACAGGCACGCCGCTCGGCCGCCCTCACGCCCCTGGTGGTGGGCGCCGCCCCCTCCCGCGGGCGGCCAGGTGAGGGGCATCCCGCTGGAGGCCGAGTCGGGGTCGGGGGTGGGCGTGCCCGTGGTGACCCAGCGCGAGTGGAAGTCGTCGGGCTCCTGCACCCAGAAGCCCTTGCTGTGAGGCGCCCGCGGGCTGGCCGAGGAGCCGCGCTGCGAGCCGCCCGCAGGCATGGAGATGTGGCCGTTGCCGTTGCTGTGCAGATTGGGGATGCTGCCCGTGGTGGCGCTCGTGCGGCGTCGGTTCCGCAGGTTGTTGGAGATGTTGGCGTTGGCGAGGTTGCTGGTGGAGCCGCCGCCGGCGTTCTCCTTCACCCAGCCGCCGTAGGGGTCGCGGCTCCACCCCGTGCGCTTCTCGTCGGCGTCGCGGCCCCGCGCCATCGCCGTCGCCGCCTTGCTGCTGCTGCTGCTCGCCACGCCACTCCCACTCCCGCTCTCCCCCCCACTGGTCACTCCTCCTCCTCCGCCGCTCCTTCCGTTCCAGTGCGGGAACATCAAGCGAGGCAGTCGGCGCCGCGCATGGAAACACTCGCCCTCGGCCCGCGATGTGGCCCTCGCCGGAGCGGCCGCCAAGTCCTCGCTCTCGGTCTGCCTCGTCGCCTGCCGCAGGATGCCGCAGGAGCCCGCGCGCCCCGCGACGCGTCCCGAGGCTCAGTTAGTGTGCTAGGACCTTCCTCGCGCCTGAATAAGGTAATGCGAGGTAACCCATGTTACGGGCCCGCCAGCCTGGCTTGGCTCCACGCGCGCCACTCCTCTCAGGATTTCTCTCTCGCGCCTCACTTTTCTCTTGCTTTTTTCTCTCTGCCTTTCTCGCTTCACTCCTCCCCTCTTCCCCCGAGCACTCGCACACACTCAGCGGGTCGGTCGAGCCTCGCAGACACCCCGACGCCGCGAGCCCCAGCCGGCGCGCACGAACACGGGCCGCGAGAGACGGCGGCGAGCGAGAGGCGCCGGACGAACAGCTAGTTCTACGCGCCAGGTGAACCTCCGTCCTCCCGACCAACCCTCCGCGGCCAACAACCAAACTCAACTGTGGCGGCGGCCGCTGCCTGCCCGACCCAGCCACCCCTGCCAACTCTCCCTCTCTCCCTCTCTGTCTCTCTCTCTCTCTCTCTCCCTCTCTCCTTCCTCCCCCTCCCTCCCTCCCTCCCTGCCTCGCTGCTCACGGCGGAGTCCATCAGACTGAACGACAAGCCGCGGTTTCCCCCACACCTCGGAACTTACTCATCTCACACCTCTACACGATTCTGGTGCTCACTCAAGGAGGTCATGGGTGTCATTACCGCAGCGGGGGTGACAGTGACGCAATTATTCAGCGCGAATTGGCACCGGTGGCGACCTCTGGCAAGGAACGCGGGACTCCAAAGGTATCATCTCGAACAGTCGAGGCCAAGCGAGCTCCCCGGAGGAACATCTTTTCTCACGTCACCGCCTCGTCCTCCTCCCCCCCCAGCACCTCCTCCCTTCCGCTCACTCACCACCGAGTCACATTTTAATACGACATTCATCCCAACCTAATTAAAAGAAAAAAAGAAAAGAAAAAAGAAACAAGGAACGCATTCTCAGAGCCGAGTGTCGACCACGGCCGCCAGATGGCCCCGAGTTCCGATTTAGAAAATAAGATCGCGCGCCTCTTCCCGTTTTCTGTGAGACCGAGGAGGACAAACTCGCGCGTGAAAAAAAGTGAAAAGTGAAACATTTTTGTGAAATATTTTCGCACCGCGGAGACACGCCCTCACACCGCGCATGCGCTGGTGATAACATGACCTTGGGAAAGAGTAGGAGGGGGGGATGACCTTAATTTATTGTTATTGCCTTATCTCATGATCACTGACACCTAGTCATGATCAGCCTATTCCTCTTCGTGTTATCTAATATTCACAAAAAAGAGGTTTTATAATAACGAGACGACTCAATAATAATCAACGGTTCATGGCACTGTGCGGAGGCGTTGTTCATCTTCGTGTCTCTCCGTTCATTCATTTTATTTTATTTTTTATTTTCTAGTTGTCTATAGCTTTTACCTGCTATTTCAGTGTGTGTGTGTGTGTGTGTGTGTGTGTGTGTGTGTGTGTGTGTGTGTGTGTGTGTGTGTGTGTGTGTGTGTGTGTGTGTGTGTGTGTGTGTGTGTGTGTGTGTGTGTGCGCGCACGCGCGCTTGTGTCCTTCTGCCTTCCCTCCCTCTCTCTCTCCCTCTTTCTCTCTCTCTCTCTCTCTCTCTCTCTCTCTCTCTCTCTCTCTCTCTCTCTCTCTCTCTCTCTCTCTCTCTCTCTCTCTCCCTCTTTCTCTCTCTCTCTCTCTCTCTCTCTCTCTCTCTCTCTCTCTCTCTCTCTCTCTCTCTCTCTCTCTCTCTCTCTCTCCCTCTTTCTCTCTCTCTCCCTCTTTCTCTCTCTCTCCCTCTTTCTCTCTCTCTCCCTCTTTCTCTCTCTCCCTCTTTCTCTCTCTCCCCCCCCCTCTCTCTCTCCCCTTTCTCCCTTCTCTTTCTCCCATTTCTCCTCTCTCTCCCCCCTTTCTCCTCTTTCTTTCCTCTCTCTCTCTCTCCCCTTTCTCCTCTTTCTCTCCCATTTCTCCTCTTTCTTTCCTCTCTCTCTCTCCCCTTTCTCCACTCTCTCTCTCCCCTTTCTCCTCTTTCTCTCCCCTTTTCCTCTTTTTCTCCTCTCTCTCTCCCCTTTCTCTCCCCTCTCTCTCCCATTTCTCTTCTTTCTCTACTCTCTCTCTTTTTCTCTTTCTCTTTCTCTCCTCTCTATCTCTTTCTCTTTCTCCCTCTCTCTTTCTCTTTCTCTCTTCTCTCCCTCTTTCTCTCCTCTCCTCTCTCTATCTTTCTCTTTCTCTCTTCTCTCTCTCTTTCTTTTCTCTCTCTCTCTTTCTCTTTCTCTTCTCTCTCTCTCTTTTTTATTCTCTCATATCTCTCTCTTTCTTTTTCTCTCCTCTCTCTCTTTCTCATTCTCTTTCTCTTTCTCCCCATCTCTCTCTCTCTATCTCTCTCTCTCTCTCTCTCACTCTCTCACACCCTCAGTCCTTTTACTACTTCATTCACTCGTTCACTCACTTACACCATCTCTCTCTCTCTCTCAGTCTCCCCCTCTCCCTCCATCATTCATATCTTCTATCTCCTTCACTCCCTCCCTCTCTCCCTCACTCTCTTCCTTTCTCTTCCTCACCTTTTCCCCTATCTTTCCCTCTCTCACTCCATTTCTCTCTCTACCTCTCTCTCTCGTTTAATCCCCTCCCCTCCCTTCTCCCTCCCTTCCTCCCCTCCCTTCTCCTCCCTCTCCCTGCCTTCTCCGCCTTCGCCTTCTTCTTCCCTGCCCTCCCTCCCCCCCTTTTTCTCCATCGTCACAACTATCAACCGTATCATCAAAGGGCAGCATCATCCATCACGTGAGCTCTTAGATGAATACCCAGTTGCTGATGAATCGGCTACCCCCCCTCCCCCCCCTCCTCCCCCACCCCCACCCCCACCACACACCCCTCCCCTCTCACTCCTCGCCCCCTTCCCATTCCTCGTTTTTTGTTTTGTTTTGTTTTTTTTGCTCTATTATCCACTCC